TCACCTAAGGCCCTCATAATATTAAGTCGCTTCTCCGCCTTTTCCAGGACGAAATCAGCGTGTCCATTAAACGTTAGCCCCGAGTCATACACCACTCCAAAGAATTTCGCCATCGGTCTTTGGATGATCCGCAATCCATCAACCTCGATCGCCCTGACACGAATATTTAGAGGCTAGACTTACAATCCGGTTACATTCTCAGCCAATGACTCACTCGTTCCGTCTGTTCTACTGCCCGCATTTTCTTCGCTCAGACTGAAACTGCCGTTCGGCCTTTTCGGCTTGCCTGTCTGCATTTTAGTCATCTGATATGCAGGCCAGCCTGATCTTCAACTGCTTTAAACTTCCATTTACGTCTGGTCTTTCGCGGCTGCCTTCTCATTCAAACTAAACAACTATTCTAACCCACTAGGTAACAACGCGTGTGCGTAAACGGCCGTCCATTTTGTCACTACTGTCTATTCTTTGAACCGATTGTCTTACCTGATGTTAAATGTTGAGGCACTTGACTACGTGATGTCCGAGGTGTCAATTTGTATGTGACACCAGCTACCTCTTTTCTTCTTTAAGGGATAACTTTTGTGATGTATTCGTGGCCTAAACCGCATATGCCATCATTTATCTGTAGGTTGACCTCTATCACGTAAACTTGCTATTGTCTGACAATCAGTCAGATTTATTCGTTTGGCGTCTTTTTTAAGGTCTCCTCTACCACTCCCCACCCTCCGTCCTCGAAACACCATCCGCGGCCTTCAAGGTGAGTACGAGTTCAATTACAATTACATGCCTGTCTCCGATTCAGTTAGCTGGTGGCTTGGTTCTCTAAAATTGCATGCAACTAATAAACCCATCAGTGCTCTACTGCATTGATAACAAGTCGCTTCAGAGCCGTATGGTGACCGTTGCTGGTGACTTGTTTTTCCAACCCGCGCAATTGGCAAACAAAAAGCGTAAAGGCAAATCAATCGATTGGTCGTGTCTGAGGGTTGCATGTCGCTTCGTTAGCGACTATCTCATGACAATACACTGTGTTTGTTTGGATGAGGCATCTGTAGACGCCTATCGTTCCGTAGCTGTTTTTTGTTTCGCATTAATGGCACTCCAGTGTTTTAACAGTTTGGAATAACGCCTTACTTGTACAGAATTGCACAATGCTGAGTTGCCCTTCTACTCTTTTATCAACCGCCTCGAGTTGTCACCATTGTTTGATGTTTGTTAACACGTCCAAAAAGGACGCATCCAGTTGCCTATCCCATTCAAGAGATCTGTAACGGTAGTCTATCCTTGCCTTCAAGGTGAAGAAGTCAACTGCTTGAATATGCTAATCTTAATTTAGCTGCTGGACACGTGCGCGCGATTGCAGCGTTCAG